CAATGAAAAGCGGTCAATGAAATATCCTGGCCTGCAATGAAAAGCTACCAATGAAAATACCAACAGCAATGAAAAGCAGTCAATGAAAAGAGCTGGCCTGCAATGAAAAGTATCCAATGAAATATCCTGGCCTGCAATAAAAAGCTATCAATGAAAATACCAGCAGCAATGAAAAGTGGTCAATGAGAAAGGCTGGCCTGCAATGAAAAGTAGCCAATGAAAATCCTAGAGAGCAATGAAAAGCTACCAATGAAATATCCTGGCCTGCAATGAAAAGCACCCAATGAAAATGTTTAAACACTACAAGAAATGGCCGAAGTAGCCAACGCCAAAGGTGACCGATGCCGCGCACCTAAAGATTTTGATGGAAACGAAGACAAGTACAAGACTTGGCTTAGAACGATACAGACCTATATGGAGGTCAACAATCACTTGTTCAGTACCGACAAGTGAAAGATCCAGTTCGCCCTCAGTTTCATGATCACAGGCAGAACACTTTACAGACACCCACACAAATACTGATGGAGTATTCACCACAGCATCAATGTGGAAAGACTTTGTCAACTTATTAAACGAAACATTTGACATCAGAAAGACGAAAGAGGCTCTCATGCTCTCTTTTGCATATGAGCTTTAAAGGCTCTCATGCTCTCTTTTGCATATAATTCCTCAAACTAGACATGGAATAGAGTCCCTGCAATGTATCTGTATATTCCCCAGCCATTTCCCCATCAAATATGTGCCATGGATGGGCTTTGGATAACCTTTTAGCCCTAACCCTAACTTTGTAGTCTAAGTCCGACTTTTGTAGTCTTTTGTAGTGTATCAGTAAAATTTGTAGTCTATGTCCGACTTTTGTAGTCTTATGTAGTCTATCAGTAAACTTTGTAGTTGAGTCCGACTTTTTTGTAGTCTATCAGTAAACTTGGTAGTCTATATCTGACCATTCCTTTTCTAGGGCATGCACCTTCCTTTTTTGGTCATTTTTCCCACGATACAATAGTTGTAGCCCTTTCTTTTAGCTTTCTAAATATACTGAAATCATATTGTTTGGTTTTCTTTTCATGGAGAAAAATGCAAAAAAAAACAAAAAAAAACACAACACTTTTGGGATTCCTTTACCTCATATATCCACAACGGGAGCACTTCAGAACATAATTCAAACAGATTCAGGAAGCTACAGTGTAGGGCTACAACTTTTGTTTTTGACCATTTTTGGTAATTGGTCATGTGACCATCATCCCAACATCCCATTACATGGACCCTGATAGGTAAAATCATTCTCTGCTTGGTTTTCTTCACTTTTTGGTCAAATCAGGTGATATTCCACTTTTGGGATGGAACTTGAAGTGGACCCTGAAGGCAGTGCCTGATGTTCTGTACACCATTTTTATATATATTCAAATTTTCCGCTATTTTCTGGCTATTTTTGGATATATTACCATATTTGGAACTGGACCCTGGACCCTGACAATGTTACCCAACATGATGATCAGCAATGAGCCCTAATTTTTCCTGATTTTATCGCTATTTTACATTTGGAAATGCACCCTGGACCCTGAAAGGTCAGCTGGTGCTAAAAATGAAATATTCATTGAAAGTGCCAGGCTTTCATATGAATAGCAAAATGAGATATCCAGAGATAATGAATGAAATATTGCAGGAAATCGCAATACAATATTAATGAGATCACTTAGGCCATTTAATGAAAATACCAAATGAAATACACAGGGAACTTAATGAATGAAAATACTAGACAACATAATGAGTTGTCTCATTGAACCTCTAGGCATTATACACATCGCCTTCCAGGCATGTGTCTGGTTTTTATCATAAGAGTGTATACCACTAGTGGGGTTATGTTTAAGGATTGAGAGGTCTACTCTTGCTTTGTCTTTCGTCTTTCTGATGTCAAATGTTTCGTTTAATAAGTTGACAAAGTCTTTCCACATTGATGCTGTGGTGAATACTCCATTGGTATTTGTGTGGGTGTCTCTAAAGTGTTCTGCCCAGTCGGCAGCTCTGCCTGTGATCATGAAACTGAAGGTGAACTGGATCTTTCGCTTGTTGGTACTGAACAAGTGATTGTTGACCTCCATATAGGTCTGTATCGTTCTAAGCCAAGTCTTGTACTTGTCTTCGTTTCCATCAAAATCTTTAGGTGCACGGCATCAGTCACCTTTGGTGTTGGCTACTTCGGCCATTTCTTGTCTTGGTTCTGTTGGGTTCTCGGGTTCTATCAGTGTGTCTGTCTGTCTGGGAGTTCCAGTTACTGCTGGTGACCCAGGGTATGGGTTTATCGCGAATGTATTGAACTGTTCAACTGCTTTGGTTCTTTCATCGGTAGGTGTGATACCTAAACTAGCTAAATCTATCAGTGTAAATGTCGACGTCGGGATGATTGATCCTAATAGCGGCTGTACGCTTCTGCTGGGTGTTCTGGTGATCGCTGGTGATCCTCTGGGTGTGGTTCGTCTGCTAAAGGGTGACGGTAATGGTCCTAACCCTGTTATTCGTCTATATCTCTCTGTTGTTGATACAGGTGTCGATGTTCCTGTTACTGGTGTCTGTGATGCAGGGGGACTGCTACCCTCATCTGCGCTTTCATACTGTTCTTCACCGGATGTGAAGGTGTCGGTTCTTGGTTCGGGTTCTGAGTCTGAGCTTTCTGCTGGTGCTCATAGTGTCCAACAGTCTGACTCTCTTCGAGCAGCTGTGATTTCTTTTAGGTAGGAGGCGAGTTTGATGCGCCTTCTATCAATATGATGATGTCCTTGATTCTTTCGTTATATTCTCTGATGAGACTTATAATGTCTTTGATTCTGGTGTTATATTCTTCGGTAAGACGTATAACCTTTGTTATGTTGTCCAGTGTGGCTAATTTGGGTAGAGGGCAGTGATGCGCCTTCTGTTCTGGGATAAGCTTGAACCTTTTGTTACGGTTGTTAAACGTAACAGGCAGTTATGTTAAGCTTTTCGAGTTCGATCGATTGTTTGTCTACCACAGTTCTCGTTGTTGAGACAAAGTGGGTGACTACAATGTTCGCAGCCCTTAAAGCGACACAGTAGGTTCTAGTAGCCTTGTGCTCGAAGGTCAGTCCAAGGTTCTATGATACGCTGACTTCTGTTAAGTCAAATGTGTATTAAGTCTTCAACATTGAAGACTTATCGTCAAGGTTTCAAAAGAGGCTCTAAGTCGAAAGACTATAGAGTTTGAGGGCGATCTTAGTTTCTGAGGGTCTGATGAGGAGGAACTAAGCTTAGATTGCCTAGGTTCAAGCTACCGAATACAAATGAAAAGTACCCTACTTATATACTAAGGGTATGAGTCAGATACGAGTCAGAGGTATGAGTTCATATGACTTGTGTAGAGTCATATGAGTCGTATCTAGTCTATGAGAGTCGTATGACTCTAAAGGAGTCATATGAGTCTATCTAAGTCATAAAAGAAATCTGACTGGGATGTGTATCTAGAACTGTCCAGTATAATCTATATGCATCTTAGGAGTATGTAAGTGTCTGCGCAGTTTGTATAATGAAAAAGAGTCTGTAACAGTATTGCAATCCCATCCCATCCCATACCATGGTATTGCACCCTCATACCATACCATGCATCCTCATACCATACCATGGTATCAGGAACCATAATCTATTTTTATTTAGGCAGAGGAAGGCAGAAAACCCTCATTTCGAAGTTTGTTTACATATATTTACCAATAGCTTTGACTGAAGTGAGGCTAAAATTTTGTAGTGTCCACTTTGATGTGTGCACTATTTCCTAATTGGGAAAAGCATCACACTTTTTTCTGCCACACCTAATGTCAGGCACAGTGTGCAGTTAGGTTGGGAACTGTTTCCCACACTCTTTGGGCCACTGGAGTTAGTGGCTAGCTTAGTGTTGTCATTGTTCATGACGATGTCTGCACTATTTCCTAATTGGCAAAAGTGTTACACTTTTTTCTGCCATACCTAATGTCAGGCAAACTGCACATTTAGGTCAGGAACTATTCC